ACACTTCAGTCAGTGGCACTGCCCCGGGGGGTGATTCACGAGTGTGATAAGCTCTGGCTGTTGGTTGTTTCTAGGGCATTCTGGTTACAGCCAGCAGCAAGAGCTTATCACATTCATTTAGTAGTTTTAGTAGAGGTTTTACGGCGCTAGCAACTGCATAAGGTCAAATGAGCGTCAGGAGGTTAGAGGTGTTACAAGACAGTAACAAACATAAAAAGAAGAAGGAGAAATAAGGACGATAGATGTTTGATAGGAAAGAAGAAGCAAACCACACTAGAGCATCCGCCAACCACCCACTATCAGATCCGTGCATCTGACTTCAAATCAAGAGAAAGACCAAGAAATACCTGGCTGGATGAGATCAAAAAGGTCCTGGAACAACACGTTATGAAATGACTGCCGATGAAATAACTGCAGGACATCCATCATAACAATAACATTAACTCTTTGTCTCCGGGGGGGGGGTGTAAACCTCTTTTAGTTTTAGGAAGTGTTTTACGGCACTTGCAACACAAGGTCATATAAGTGCCGAAGATTAGAGGTGTTAAAAGAGAGTAACAAACACAAAAAAGAAGGAGGGGAGATAAGGACGATAGACGTTTGATAGGAAAGAAGGAGCAAACCAGACCAGAGCACCCGCCAACCACCCACCTCTTGACATATATGTGACATATACGTCATTAAATTGGTCATTAAACCAAGACAGCTGAACCTTTTTTGACAGTTCTTCATCTAATGATGAGCTTTACATCGATGACATGATCACTGAGCATAATATTTCATTGACCACACAGGAAATTTCATCAAGCAGCAGTTTTCAAGGGGTTTTTTTGTTTTAACTCTTTATCTACGGCAAGCCGCTCCCAGCAGCTCGCGGTCGGAACTGCTGTGCCGGTAAGTCACTGACAGCAGCTCGGGCACATTCCGTTACAACGACTTTGACATCAAATTTCTTGTCGGCGACTGCCGAAAACAGCTTTCTTTTACCGAAAGTTCATTTATTAGATACGGTACTATCATAATAGGTTTGCTAGTTTCAATTTAATGACTCATTTAGAGATGTTTTTGTCACTTTTAGATGTAGTACCAAAAAAGGACCCCTGCGTAGTGGGTTTACCCCCCCCCCCTCCCTCGGAGATAAAGAGTCAAAAGATACATAGAATATTGCAGATACAAAGCAAAACTATCATGTCTTCAAAAATATTTTTTGGACAAAAATATATTTGTACATTGGAACGCAATTTTAACAGAAATAACAATTTAGAAATAGATCTATATACTGCTATCTTTTAATTCAGACCATCAAAGGATTTCAGATGAAATGGGGAAAAAAAAATTAACAGCAAAACATTTGACTTCAATGTAAAAAAATCAACATGAAATCTCAAATTTTGCAGATATATTTTTGCGCTTCACCGAGTGCTCAAGTTGTCACAGACTCGCACTTTGGAGGGAACAAAACTAAACCTGTACAATTTCCCTGGACCAAACAGCAAAAAGATTCTGAAGAGCAGAATGCCCCACCTCACTGCAGATTGATTGATTGACTGATTGATTGATTGACTGATTGATTGATTGATTGATTGATTGATTGACTGATTGATTGATTGACTGACTGATTGATTGATTGATTGATTGATTGATTGATTGATTGATTGATTGATTTATTGATTGGGTAGATGTTTTATGTCACAATCCACTCAGTTTTGGTCACCTTAGTACTGATCTATTAATTGATAGATTGATTAAATGATTTAGTTGCATAACAGCACTATCGACACAGTTTTGGTCACCTTAGTAAAGACTGATTGAATGATTGAGTAGATGTTTAACGTCACAATTCATACCGTTCTGATCACCTTACTGCAGATTGATTGATTGATTGATTGAGCAGATGTATTACAGCACTATTGACACTGTTTTGGTCACCTAAGTACAGATCCAATTACTTGATTAATTGATTGACTAATTGAAAGAGTAGATATTTTACACCACTATCGACACAGTTTTGGTCACCTTTGTACAGTTGATGACAAGTTTTGCTATGAAGAGCTTCGTGTTGACGTGGGATGAAGGGCTGGACATTTTGTCGTGCAGGTACGGCATCCAGGCTGGCATCTCTTTGGCTGGGGCTCCCTACAAGTGGAACAGAGAACAGTTTTAGTTTTAGGAAGTGTTTTACGGCACTTGCAACACAATAAGGTCATATAAGTGCCGAAGATTAGAGGTGTTAAAAGAGAGTAACAAACACAAAAAAGAAGGAGGGGAGATATTTGTTTTAGTAGAGGTTTTACGGCGCTAGCAACTGCATAAGGTCAAATGAGCGTCAGGAGGTTAGAGGTGTTACAAGACAGTAACAAACATTTTAAAAAAGAAGGGGAGATAGTTGGGTTTT